TTCTGTTCGAATAAAGTGGGTCGTAGTAGATAACTGGAGTGCCTAATTGCTGCTCTTGCTGTTTTTCTTTGCCATTGTCATTATCATTATGAAAAGCATTTATTATGCACCTGTGATATGGGCATCTGGAGCTGAGTTAAGCTCTGAGCAAAGCAAGAGAGATATCCGCACAGCAGCACATTACCTCTGCTGGATTCCAGCCCATTTATGACAAAGAGCAGACAAATGAGCAAACAAATAATGAACTTTTTCCATTAAAATAAATACCTTTTCCATTGGGACCAAAGAGATGGTGCAGAAAGCGTATGCCCAGAGGTGGTGAGGAACTCTTTAACTCCACTTCACATCAACCAATAAATGGTGGAACTCCTAGAACAATGTATCTAGGAAAAGAATTTGGAAAACTAAATAGTACAGCATTCCTCTGGGAAGAAGGTCCACAGTAGACAACTGGAAGGATCAGAAAGCTGCCTGCCAACCTTTTGTAGAATTACTTCCTGTAGCCATATGTTGAATCTGGAGCAAGCCAAAGACAGTGAAAGTGAATTTAATTTTTGACAACACCAAGCTGTTAAAAAGACTAATATCAAAATAATAATAATAATAATAATAACAGAAGTGATGTATTTGAAATCCATAAATTGCATTTCCTGTTCATTTGTCTACTCTAGGAAAAGCAAATCAGGTTTCTTCTTCCTCCTGAGGTGGGTGATGAATGATTGCTTGCAGTTGGGTGGCAGGATCCTGTGTTGCCATTATTGACTTTCCATGGAAGCCGTTCATCTGCAGATGCAGTCAGTGCTGGGGGGGGCACTCCACACACCCTGCAAGCCTTAAGTAAACTGGTTTTAGTCACTCATGGGTGGATCTGAATAAAATAATTACTTCCTGTTAAAGGCAGTCTTTTCCTTTTATCTTCACCCTCCTGGCCTCAAGTAGAACAGTGAGGATTTACTCAAGGGGACTGGAACTCCCAGTGTCAGAGGGTTATCTGGCTGACAGCAGAAGGCAGGAATGAAAAGGACTCATTCATTCATTTGTTCATTTATGAATTTACAATGATATGTGGACCTACTATGGAACAAGCTTTGTTCCAGGCAAACAATGACCTCACTTTTTAGAGAGCTTACCTTAGGAATGTGCAAAGCTTGGATTCATGCCTTTTACAAAGGCCTCCTAAAATGTTGTTGTCCAGAACATACTCCAGAATACAGAGAAGTAAACACAAGAAAACATTATTTGTTCAAAAGTACATGAAGAGTGTGAAGGGGATATGAAGGGTCATTCAAAAATAGGGATTGTTAGGCATGTTTAAGAAATATAATCTATTGTTTTTGAAAAATATTTGCTACTTTGAACTGACTATTTTGAAAATATTTCTGAGTAGAAAAATCTTGTGAGAAGACAAGACTTATTTATTTATAAACAGTATCATCTATGTCTAAAGACTGGATTGCATTTCTTATAAAAAATGTACATAATTCTAAAGTATGTTAAACCTTTTCTATGTAGATCTATTTAGATCTCAGTAAGTTTTATTTACTTATTAGCTTATTTACATTTTATAACTGATAAAATGATAGGGCAGACATCAGTTCATTTGAAGCAAAATTATTAAAGAATTTGAATTTAAGACTAAAATAATAAGGTTTTACTTATTCACTTAATAATTAAGTACATACTGTGTTTCAGCCATTATGACAATCATAATTTAATTATTGTGAAGGTTGTGATTAATTGGAGTACATTATACACAGTCATGTGTGTTAATGTGTGCATTTATATATGTTTATGGCTCAGTTAAAAATGAATATTTTGAGGGCTGAGCACAGTGGCTCATGCTTGTGATCCCAGAACTTTAGGAAGCTGAGGTGGGTGGATCACCTGAGACCAGGAGTTCAAGACCAGCCTGGCCAACACAGCATAACCCCATCTCTACTAACAATACAACAATTAGCTGGGAGGTGGAGGGCGGAGATTGCAGTGAGTCAAGATTGTGCCACTGCACTCCAGCCTGGGCAGCAGGGTGAGACACTGTCTCAAAAAAAAAAAATGAGTCATAATGTCAAACTTGAAACAACACATACACACACACACACACACACACACACACACACACACGCACACACACACACAGAATACAATCCTCAATCCATGATAGGATATAGAGATATGGATAAAAAAGCAGAAAGAAACACAAACATGGTTTAACGTGCAATGATAGGGCCATGTTTTTTTTTTTTTTTTTTTGTCGTTGTTGTTCTTTTGTTTTGAATTCTACTGGACATCTTATGGAGTTGTTTCTGCAATAAAAAAAATGACCATAGAAAAATGGATCCAGATTGACCTGTTCATGTTGAGTAGAATGGAGCAGAAATTTGAGAGAGCAACCACTGGAATGCTTCTGTAGCACAGACATACCTGTAAAGCTCACGGGGAAATTTCTGACTATTTTCCACTGTTTCCAAAATGTCAAATTCTCAAATGGAGAGTTTTAGGTGAGGGCTGCATAGAGAAGGTGGGGTGGTGGGATATTGGTCTCCATATTTTCAATATCCAGAAAGAAAGCCAAGGATATGAGTAGCTTTATTTTTATAATATTATGTTTCCATCTGTTGGGAAATATTTACATTATTGTGCCACTTGCACCCAATATTACCTGATGCAGGATGTCTTATACAGTCTGATCACCTGGAATATAAATGAGCATCAAAAATATTTTAAAGTGATTGATAAAAATCAGCTTGCTTTGGGAATATTCTGTAGGCCTAGTTGATAATTGTGTTTAATTTTATTTTGATTAAGTGTTGTGCCAGGAGAAGCAGGTGCTGAAATCTATACTCATGTGGAAAGAGGAAACCGTATTCTGGCTAATAGGGAACTAGAAAATCAAGGGGGGAACATTACCTTGCCTGAGACAATAGTTGTTCTATAAAATTGAGCCTCTTCCTATTATTATGGAAATTACTTTTTGGCAGTAGCACAAAAAGGTTGTTTTACATTATTGTTAATTGTGGTTGGAGACACAAAGTAATATGATCATTTGATGGCTTATTTGTTATTCACAAAATGACAGCTTTTATGTGCACATAAATATGAACTCACCTGGAAATATTCCTGTGGATTTAGGAGCCATCTAAATGTATGTGCTTAATGCGTACACTACATTTTGATGAAGCCACGTGAGTTTGTTGTTAGCAGATTACCTGGTTCCTTGTCAGCCATCCGATGAGGGAACACTGTCTGCTTGGTGAATGTGAGACACAGAAATCCATAACTTTGTCAGAATTTATGGTTGGTGGGCAGTGGCTTTCCTGGAACATGGTACAAGAGGCAATTAGTCTTCAATTTTGTGTGCGCTTTTCATCTTGTCTGGAGCGCGGCTGACAGCCACAGCATTGCCTTCACCCCATTACATCCCTTTTCTCCTCTTCAAGAAAGGGAGTTTGAAAGGACAGCAAGGAACCTTAAATTCATCCTGGATAACATAAACAGAGTTTGGGCAGAGTGTCGGGTATGCAATCCTCTTGTGCCATTTACAGCGACAGGACACCACTTTCAAAGATGACACTGACTGTTCAGAGGCTTTAATATGACTGCCTCCAAATGTTTGAGAAATCTTCACGTGTTTGCCTGGCGCTCTGCTCTTTTAAGATATAACTCTATTTCTCTCTCTCTCTCTCTGTTTCTTGGAAGTGCAGCATCCTCAGCTGGTAATCTTTAAACCCTGGGCCGCAGTGATTTCTCTTCATATAGGAACACATTAAGCACATATTTCATGCTTCCCTGAACCAAATTCAGAAAGTGCCAATTAGTAAGTTGATGGGGAAGAAGTCAGTGGGTGGCATTAAAGTCACCTGTCTGGAGACACAGGTGCACACTTTAACTGAGTTAAAGACGACTCACAGAGTCAGGAATGAAGTACTTTATCACACATTCCCGGAGGCATAAAACCAGAGGATTTAAAGCAGTTTCGAGGGCAGTTCCTCCATCTTGATGCCATTATGATTAATCCCATTGCTCTGGACAAAATTGGGCATCCCAGTGAGACAGTGTAAAACATCTGAAGCTGTGAATTTTTACATATTTATAGCTTCTTCTGTGGTACAGATTGTGAAGGGCAACCAACTTTTCTTTCAGAGTTTTAGAGAGTCATGTGGACTTAGAAGTTGTGAAACTTCCATCCATATCTCAGAGTGTTCTGGGCATCTTTCTAAGTCCACATGACTCTCTGAAACTCTTTTCATGCAGTCCGTTATTCATTCTTTCCTTTGACAAATGTTTATCAGTGTGCAATACATACTGGACCTTAGTCCAGCTGCTGGGAATACATCTGTGAAGTGCACAGACAGCTCTCTCTATTGGCACGAAGTTTATTTTTGGTAGAAGGCATATGGACAAGAAACAAGATAAATAAGTAAATTATGTAGTAGGTTAGAAGGAGATGAGGATGGTGGGGTAAAATAGCCTTTGTAAAATTCCTAGAGAAAGCTTTAGAGTCTAGACTTTGACTTACGACTCAGAAAATCAAGCTAAGTTAGGATGTCAGGATATTCTTGAAATGAAGTAAAAGGATTTGAGTTAGGGAAGAAAAACAGTGGACTCCATCCTCTTTCTTTTCTACCTTTCCCACAACAGACTATCTAACCAGTCTTTAAGTCTCCCAAAATGGAAAGTAGATATGGCACAGTGGGAAGAAGGGAACAAGGGTAAGTGTCCCAGGTTCAGGAAATAACCTTTGAAACAAAACAAGGAGTCCCCTAAAAGAGAAGAGAATACAGTTATCTATTTCATCCCTGTTTCTTCCAGCTTCTTCTACTTCCTTCATTTCTTTGTGCATGTATTTTTGTAGCACTGGTCCAAGATGGAAGAATCAACCTGACAGAGTCAAGGTCCTGGCCCTGTCCTTCCCTTGTCAAAATTGAGCTAATTTTCAAGTTTCGCAATTTGGTAAACTTAATTTTTTTGTTGTTTCTTTCTCCAACAATTCTTTGCTGCAGATAATGTTACTCACAGACCCAGAGATTGAGAGCAGCTTATTGATCAGCTCAGATGAAGGGGCAACTTATCAAAAATACCGGCTGAACTTCTACATTCAAAGCTTGCTTTTTCACCCCAAGCAAGAAGACTGGATTCTGGCATACAGTCAAGACCAAAAGGTGAGCATGCTTACCTTGTTTGAGATAATGAAGCATGGTTCTCTGGGGAAAATAGTGTTAATTTAATCATCTCTCCATTTCACCTCAATGATCATTTTTGTTCGGAGCCGTAGCCTGACCTCTGTGCTATGGGACAAAGGAACGCAAGGAGAGTCTCAGGTTGCATGATTAAATCATGTAAATGTCTGAAACCACATACCAAATAAAGGTTAGGTGTGCTAAGTAAGGCATGGTAGAGAAGCAGTTCCTAGCATAGACGCTTCAGGCAGTCAGGAGCCTCTGACCGCCACTGAGTTGGAGACAGTGTCTTATGTTTGTGGACAGGTGATCATTTCTCTAGGTGAAGGACCCATGGCTTTTCTCAGACTCTTAAAGGGAAGCATAACCTTGAAAAGATTAAGAACATGAAGTAGGGATTTTCTAAAACACTGAGAGAAATGGCCAGAGGAACAATAATAATGTATATAGTTAACCTTACGCAGAACCTAGTCATCTCAGAACTTTTCTTCACTTGGTGATAACGTTGAAGAAAAAGTCCACTTCAAAAGAAAGGATTAAATGAGCTGCTGGTATTACCTGTGTGTGTATATGTGTGCATACATCCCATGAAATGTCATCCTGTAAAATGTATTATATACTCAATACGGCATATACATACATATATGTACCTATGGTCCCTGCCTTTAAAGAACTCGCATTCTCGGGTAGAATAAAAGGCTAGCAATAGCAAGTAAAATTAAATTAAAATGAAAAGAAACAGCATATACACAGGTAAATGTGAGAGAGACTCTAGCCATAAAAGCCAGAGGGATAATTGGTGAAATACTAGAATACTCTTTGTGAAATGCATTATTCAGTGAAGTCATTCTGAAAATTCTCCTTAGAGGAATCATGAATTAGAAATTACATATATTGAAAGAAATACTGGACTTAGCTAAGTGAGGAGGATGTTGGGGGCGGGTTATTTGTCTGGGTTTACATAGATGTGTGGCATTTTTGGAGGTAGGAGAATGGTGTAAGCCACTTCCCAAGGTCTCTACTGACAGGAGCATTTTAAAGGAAGCAAATTTAAATTCTTAAGTTTGGAATTTTATTCATGCTGCCCCTACTGCCAAATAAAATGCACATTAAGCCTAAAAATAGAAAGAATTTACAATTAGTTTTTTTTTTCTTTTTCCCTCTTGAGCAGCTTGGCTACCCTTTCAGCAGAATGTACAATTTTGTTTCTGGAGTCAAGCCACAGTGCATCTGGTCCAGGATGGTGCAGTTAACAGAGGCAAAGCCTTACCAGCTCAGACAGAGTATTAGTCATTTAATCCACAGGGTTATTGTATTTTATTCGACAGTTGGTTAATTTCCCCCCCTGATGCCAGAGGCACAGTGAGGGCCAGATTTACCTGCCTAAGTAAAAACTCTGCATCTTTGCAGTTATGCTGGAGGAGATGCCTAAATATGTAACCCTTTACGTCCCAGCACTTCAAACAGTGTCTCCCCCTGGTCCCTGTGGCAGAGTGGATGATACGAGACCAGTTAGGACACCTGGGCTGTGACCTCAACCCAGCTACATATAGTGAATAGTATTTAGCGTTAGTTTCTTTTTCATTAAATGTGTTTATATGGATAATTATGATTGTAGGTACCCTTTAAAGTGATATAAAAAGAAACAAATATTAGATGCTCCATCTCTTTTAAGTGCCATGCATGATATGGTGTTGATACGAAATAACTACATTCTATCCATCTTAGAGATAGATGACTGACACACATGAGTTGACCAATAGTTTAAGAGAGGCCAAAAGGGCAGTTCTGTCACTGATGCATAATATATACAAGTGACTGGATGAGTTACATTAAATTGGTAGTCCGGAGTTCAGGAGATGGAGATCTAGTGATCTCTACTCCAGAGGTCTTATGAAATAACTTCAGCTGGACTTTGATGAATATGTTGGATTTCTGTTTTAAGAGTAGGGGAGGCCAGTTTTTTACAAAATCAATGTCAGAAACATCAAATGGTAAAAAACATGTTTATAAAATTGCAAATTTTTTTATTTGGCTGAAACTAAAGTTTGTTACAGCTAGTTATAATTTACATGCATGCGTGCATGTGTGCGCGCACACACACAGACACATTTTGGAACCTAATCTTTATTATTTGTCTCTGTCTACTAGGAAAATTAATTTTCGTTTCCTTAATTAGGAGCCTTCAGAAAGTTTGGTCCAGAGAATGATATATTTAGAGCTATAGATTACAAGAGTAATGTGAGTATAAACTGTGGTGTTATGAGGACAACAACAAGACTAGCTGGGATGGTATTATAACACTCCTGGCACCAGATGCTAAGAGTAAGAACCAAAAGGTATCCTTTGTGACCACAGAACCAATGAATCCTGTCATTTTAGAGTTGGAAGCGGTCTTCCTCTGTTTGTTGTTATTATTTTTTTTTTTCTGTATGAGACTAAGGATCTAAATATCCAAGAGGTTAACAAATTTACTCAATGGGCAAAATCACTAATTAGTATAACTCGTGGATATTCTACAAATGGGGTAAAGGGCTACCTGACATTCCACAGGGTATTGGAATACCTATGTGGAATACTTACGGAATGCCTCATTCTTTTTTTTTTTTTTTTTAATTTGAGACAGAGTCATGCCCTGTCAGCCAGGCCAGGATGCAGTAGTTAGTGTGATCCTGGCTCACTGCAACCTCCATCTCCCGGGCTCAAGCAGTTCCCCTGCCTCCCGAGTTGCTGGGATTACAGGTGTATGTCACCACATGCAGCTAATTTTTATATTTTTAGTAGAGACGGGGTTTTACTATGTTGGCCAGGCTGGTCTTGAACTCCTGAACTCAGGTAATCCACTGGTATCTTGGCCTCCTGAAGTGCTGGGATTATAGGCATGAGTCACCGCGCCCAGCCAGGGTTCTCATTCTTGAAGGTGATATTTTGAGATGAACAGATGGGTAAGAGCCAGGCTTTCTACTGAACTGTTTTTGTGGTGGTTGCTGTTTTTCAAAATTTTTTAAATTATACTTTAAGTTCTGCGACATGTGCAGAATGTGCAGGTTTGTTACATAAATATACACGTACTATGGTGGTTTGCTGCACTCATCAACTCGTCATCTACGTTAGTTATTTCTCCTAATGCTATCATTCCCCTAGCCTCCCATCCCCCAACAGACCCCAGTGTGTGATGTTCCCCTCCACATGTCCTTGTGTTCCCACAACACAATATGAGTGAGAACATGTGGTATTTGGTTTTCTTTTCCTGTGTTAGTTTGCTGAGAATGATGTTTCCAGCTTCATCCATGTCCCTGAAAAAGACGTGAACTCTTTTTTTTTTTTTTTTTTTCATACTGTTGCCCAGGCTGTAGTGCAGTGGCATGATCTCAGCTCACTGCAGTCTCCACCACGTGGGTTCAAGGAATTCTCCTGCCTCAGCCTCCTGAGTAGCTGGGAATACAGGCATGTGCTACCATGCCCAGCTAATTTTTTCGTATTTTTAGTAGAGATGGGATTTCACCATGTTGGCCAGGATGGTCTCCATCTCCTGACCTTGTGATCCACTCACCTCAGCCTCCCAAAGCACTGGGATTACAGGCATGAGTCGCCATGCCCAGCTGAACTCATCCTTTTTTATGGCTGCATAATATTTCATGGTGTATATGTGCCATATTCATTTAATCCAGTCTATCATTGATGGGCATTTGGGTTGTTTCCAAGATTTTGCTGTTGTGAATGGTGCTGCAATAAATGTAAGTGTGCATGTGTCTTTATAGTAGAATGATTTATAATCCTTTGGGTATATACCCAGTAATGGGATTACTGGGTCAAATGGTATTTCTGGTTCTCTAGATCCTTGAGGAATTGCCACACTGTCTTCCACAATGGTTGAACAAATTTATACTCCCACTAACAAAGTAAAAGCATTCCTTTTTCTTCACATCCTCTCCAGCATCTGTTGTCTCCTTATTTTTTAATGAGTGCCGTTCTAATTGGCATGAGATGATGTCTCACTGTCATTTTGATTTGCATTTCTCTAATAACCAGTGATGAGGAGCTTTTTTCCATGTTTCTCGGCTGCATAAATGTCTTCTTTTGAGAAGTGTCTGTTCCTATCCTTTGCCCATGTTTTGATGTTGGTTTTTTTTTTCTTGTAAATTTGTTTATGTTCTTTGTAGATTCTCGAAATTAACCCTTTGTCAGATGGATAGATTGCAAAAGTTTTCTCCCACTCTGTAGGTTGCCTGTTCATTGTGATGATAGTTTCTTTTGCTGTACAGAAGCTCTTTAGCTTAATTAGATCCCGTTTGTCTATTTTGGCCTTTGTTGCCATTGCTTTTGGTGTTTTAGTTATGAAGTCTTTGTTCATGCCTACGTCCTTAATGGTATTGCCTAGGTTTTCCTCTAGAGTTTTTATGTTTTAGGTTTCATGTTTAAACCTTTAATCCATTTAAAGTTATTTTTTGTATAAGGTATAAGGAAGGGATCCAGTTTCAGTTTACTGCCTATGGCTAGCCAATTTTCCCAACACTATTTATTAAATAGGGAATCCTTTCCCCATTGCTCGTGTTTGTTAGCTTTGTTAAAGATCAGATGGTTGTAGATGTGTGGTGTTATTTCTGAGACCTCTGTTCTGTTCCGACCTCTCTGCTTTTTTAAGAGAGAATGAAGGATAAATCATACTGAAAAAGACAAATTGTGGATAGCCAGTTATATAAGTAGGAATCCAAGAAGACTTCCATATCTCTAGGCTTAAATCACAGAGTAGGGAGTGGGGCATTTGCTGGAAGGGAGTGAGCTGCAGCCATTAGCTGATGGCATTGGCTGGAAATCAAGTTGAGAGGATCTGTGGCCACTCAGGTGGGTCAGTGATATGGAAATAAAAGCTGACAGTCACCGTGCGTCATGAAGCTTTTAGTGCTCATGAGATGTGGTAACAAGGAGGAACATGTGCTGGTGGTGGCTGGCTGGTGACCTCACTTGCTCCGGAAACAGGT